TTCTAAAACTAATTCTGATACTGAGCTAAAATTTTCCCCGTTGGAATTTTGAAGATCTATAAACTTTATGTTTTCTCTGTTTCTTTAAACATTCTTAGAAGATATTTTTCTTCCAATTTCTGGAGCTCAGATGTCCACATGAGTGTGGATTTTTATATGACCTTGTTAGTGTCCTAAGCTTCTTTTAATGATTTTCTTGTTCATCTAAGACAGTATTTAATATGGCCCATCGAGGTCCCTTCCTCCCTAGAGGGCAACGTGAAGCATCACAGGCACTTGGGGCATGTAGATGTTGCAAGACTTAGTCCTCTGATTAACAGGTTGTCAGCACCTTCCATATTCTTTCAGGTGTTCGGTTGGAAACTTCAAAAACTTAGGCCTTACTCCCTTTAGTAGTTGAATGTTTACCATAAGCCAACAAGAGATTGTCCTAAAGACTTTAACAACTCTGAAAATTTAGAGAATTGTTTTCCAGAGCCTATGAAATCTGAAACCATGAGTTTGGTTCTTACTCGAGTTTCATTTTATTGAGCTCCTGTCTGTATTGAGTAACTTGTGTGTCATACATTTAATCCTTAGGACAAGCTGCAAGGTATGTAATGTGCGCATTTTACAGGATCTAATAAGGCTAAGTGGTCAAATTGGGACAAATAGCAAATGAGGAGAACCAGAATTCCAAACTAGATGGAGGTCTTCGAGCCATTTATTTCCTCTTTCTGTTGTCCACATCTGCCACACTGATAAAGTAGGAGAGTAAATACTGGCCAGTAAGTAATTATCAAGTTAGTACAGCAATACCTGAAGTAGTGTACAAGTCCTAGAAACATGAAAACCAGCCCCCTTTTGCGTTACTGAAAATGAAAACTTGAAAAGCTTAATTTTTACTTCTTTAAAAACTAAACACAGACATCTGAGATTTACTGAAGCCCTTAAATCTTAGCATGTAAAATGTAATAAGTTCAAGTTAGCCCAGTAATTCTGATTTTATCGATTAGTGCTACTTGTACATTGACACATTACTTTCTTAAAAGGAAAAGGATTTGAGCAAAGGTTACACAGTTACAAGTTATTTAATTTTGGTATTTTCCTCCCATTATAAATCTGCTTTTGCATATTCTTTATTCAGCCTCCGTAAAGGAATTTTACCCTTTCCACAGTTTTGAAATTCTAGATAATTGAGCCGCCACCTCAGGCCCCTCCTGCTGCAGGTGGGCACAGCTCTGGAGCATTGGTGCCTCTTAGCTCAGTCAAGAACTACGTACCTGTGAGCCTTAATTGCCCCAGCAATTCAACGTCTTTTAGAAGATTCTTCTGACAGTAACTTCCCAAGAGATTTTAACAGTTACCCCAGCAAATGGAGAAAGCCTCCTGCAAATCATTTCTAGGTCC